ATAGAATTTGAGGTTGAATCCAAAATGAAATTGAAAATGATTGATTAGTTGTACCAAACGAAGCCACATTTGATACTTGATAATAAGAAGTAGATGCACCAGAAAATGATATAGCTTGATTCTTATGACCAGAGATAATCAAATAATTTGAAGCTATACTTGTTATTGAATTAGGTCCAGAATCACTTAATGGTGAAGCAACATCGAACTTGAAATGACCAGATAGTGTTGCTATTTCAAGAATTTCACAAGAAGACTTTACACGTCCATTTATTGATAATTGATCAATGTAACCCTTTAGAGAAAAAAACAAATATTTAACTTAGAGTTGAAAATTTATAGGACATAAACCAACAATGACTTTTATATCTTACCTGAAATGAATTATTTGGAGTTCTTACACGTAGATTAGTACCAATAGTAAAGTTGCCTGAGCTAGCTTTTAAGACACTTGATGCAGTTCTGCTTTGATCGAGCACTCCATTAATATAAATCATTTGTTTACGAGTACTGGCATAAAATACAAATGCAACATGTGTCCATTGATTCAAAGATGCTGTTGTTACACTCTGCAGATCATCAGAATAGAATGCAAAATAATATTTTTTACTACGAATATTGATATGAAGACAATTATCAGTTGTTGATGATGGACACAAACCAACTATACTGTAATCTGTTGGATTTGGTTCAGCATTTTGTTTAATCCATGCATCAACAGTAAAACTAATATTATTTAATGGAATAAATGATGTATAAATGGAAGTCTTGAGACTTGCATTAAATGAAGCTGCTTGACCAACATATCCTTGAACAAATGTAGGAGCTTGTGAAGATGAAGTTCCATTATAAACATTAGTAGAATCTTCAAATGAGTTTTCGAATTGCCAAAAAGCAATAACACCTGAAGAATCAATCCATGATTGATTGAGACATGAAGAACCACATATTGTTGTAGTTGTTGTTGTACCTAATAAAATAATTCAACATACATAATGTGTCTTTATATTAATAGAAAAAAAGGCATTTGGATTTTCTCAAATTGAATGTCTTTTTTTGTAAAAGTTGAATCGAAAATGAAGTTACTTGTGATAGTAGTTGTCGTAGAGCTAGTTGATGTAGTGGTAGTAGTTGAAGTAATAGTAGTATTAATAATGGATTCATCTATGAAATAGATTGTTTCGATTGAAAGTTCTTAATAATTTATATAATATTTTTCAAACTAACTTGTTGTTGTTGTTGTTGTTGTTGTGTTTTGCTTAATGCTATAGAGAGCAACAATTAATGCAGCAAATGCTGATAGTAATATGCCGATAGTGAAGATAGATATTACAATACGAATTAATGAACATCGGCAAAAAGTATTATTGTTGTGTCTATATATAACATAAGAACAAATGAATAGAGAATATTTATATGTAATTCTTATAACCTGTTAACGCAAACAGTGCGGCATTAAAATGTGCAGTACGATGTAGTGTCTCTTGTTAAACATTAGGGGATTGTTTTATACTATCTATTGTAGAGCATCCTTCTGCACTATGTTTTTAAGACGTGCATAAATGCAGTGAGGAAGTAGTTCATATATTATAATGAGATGTTATGGATATAGAGCATCTGATGGTATATGAGCTACGTCTGTAAGGAAAGTGGGAGAGGACTATGGAGCAGTCGTCGAACGTTCTATTCCATATACTTCAGCACTCCTTTTCAAATATTTAAACTAATAATGGCTAAAATACTGTTTCTGAATGTCATCGGTATATATTCACTTAAGTGAATCCAAAAATTAATTATATTTTTTAACAAGATCATTATGAAATCAATATTTTGTATCAAATATTATATAGAAGAAGTTCTTAAAATTTTTATGCATCTAATTGAAAGTGTTACGGAACACATTTGACATTCTTGTTGGTATGTGTAAGTATGCAAATGAAGAATTGTGTTTTACCTTTGATACCATAGAACTTGTTTCTTTGTATTATTTTTCATGGTTTCACCCATATTTTGGAAAGACGTTGACTTGATTGATGTTTGATGAATCCTTATCTATATTAAAATTCATTAATGAGATAATTCATATTTCTTCAAATGATTTATTTTTTTCTTATTATTGACGCTATTATTTACCATCTTATTTTCTCTTAGAATATTAATAAGTAAATCAAACGAAAGGTAAACAATAATTAAACGTGTTTACCTGATTATTTGGCAAGTCAGATAACGTCTCATTATTATGCCTATTCAAACTTTCAACTTTATTGAGTGATGAAGATTCAATAGTAGCTTGTATTGTCGATGATGTGACACTATGACTTTGCTTCCATTCCTATCAATTGATAATGATCAAAGATAAAGTTTTTTAATAAAATCTTTAGTCTTTCTTTACTTTTGATTGTTGACGAGGTACTATTGTGATAGCTAAGGTGTTCTTTCTTAAATATTTCAAAGGTCCTTTTATATTTGTTCCATCAGTTGATTGAATCTATATAGAAAATAAAACATTGAATTCATTTTCTACAACAGGTAATAATTATCTAGATCAAAATATCGAAAAACAAGTGTCCTATGCAGATTTTCTTCTTGTAAAATCATCACATATATATATATGTATATCTTATGGTGTTAACTTTACTTGATTGACTTCAAACAATCGATTAGTTGATCGACATGCATGGATTGTATGTCGAGTAGGATATCCTTCCTTGATTTCATGTGTTATATAATGTATTGGAACCAACGACTGCTTTATAAAAAACGTACATAAAACAAAAATTTGGAAAAAAAAACTACTTGAAGATACTTTTGGTAATGAATGATGTCTAGAAATCTTATTAACATTTGGTTTTT